GGCCATTTGGATGAATGTATATTTATATAAATGGATAACTTAGATGATGGAAAGATGGAGTACAGAGAGAGGGGGGAATGGATGGATAGATAGATGGGCGGGTGTCATGTGTAGATTTGCCACTGCATGTGGCCGGCTCATGAAGTTCCGGTGCGTCGTGAACATGACTTTGTGACAAAACTCTCTCTTTTTTTGCCTCTTAGCCGCAAAAGCACTGGCATCCGCCTCCGATGACGACCTGCCTCTGTCACTCGAACTGCCGGTGGACGACAAGGAGCCCGACAACCGAAGAAACAAAGCCTCTGGCACGTCACTTTACAAGTTGGATCGACAGATCGCCAACGAAGGTATGACGTCTGGTTGTCTTTTTGCAAAAAGAAGCTGAGTTTCGAGCAGTCTCTTGTTCAAAAGCATTGTTCAGTTGCCCTCCATTTCGAGTAAAAGCGTTTGCTGAATACATTCACCAGAATCCTCTTGACCAGCTGTCAGTTGGCTTGACTGGAATATTCTTGCTGGCGTTGTTTCAGAACTAGTCTCCTTCGACTTTGGCCTTCTGGTGGGGTCTAGCTTCGAATCTCTTCAGCGAACATTTCTACTCGAAATGCAAGTGAGCTCAATAGTTGCATGTTTGCCCATCTCTTTCAACGAACTCTGTCTTCCCCGATTCGCATCACCCTCGATCTCAGGTACCTCGAAGGACACCAGCTCTCGAGGCCTGCTTCAGCGGACGAGACGCAGTCTGCCCCAACAACGTGAGACACCAGCAAAGAGGCATGTTTGTTGTCATCCCAGTTGTTGTCCTCCTGTTTGTCCATCTGTCTGTCCTGTTGTCATGTAAACATGTTCCTCTCTCACCCCTCGACTGAGAGCTCAGTCAGCCGAGGTATGTTCAGTGTCGTGAAGGACCGATTGTGTGCATCGTCGCCCCGATCCAGTTGGTAAACTCCATGATCCCATACAATTCCACCTGATCTTGTTGCCCCAAACCTGCGCTCATCTCAACTCGACTCGACTGTGACTTCGACGCCGCCTCACTCTTTCTCGTCAGAACCGTCGAGACGAGTAGCAACAGTATCGAAGGTGTCGGCTGCCCAACCACGAGTTCCATTCATAGACAAGCCTGTATAGACTCACTTTCATACTCGGCGTGTCGATTGATATGTTGCGTTTGTCGGATTTCGTTTGAAGAGGTACGGAGAGTGTCAGTTGCATTTTTCCACAATCTGATGACTAGACTGTATGCTTTCATTCAATTTCACATCGCCTTGCCCTCGGTACACTTTTTCTCATCCCAGCTGCAATGGGTAGCCGTGTCAACCCCGCTTCTGTCTCATCCGCACCCCCAGCGGGACTCGAACCATGACGATGAAGCATAATTGCCAAATTGTCACAAATGCCATCCGGCCACAGAGCAGGTGTGAATGTCCCGTTGCGCATACTCTGGTGCAATTGTCGATAGATCACAGTTGAATGTTCTATAGCAACCAACTTTTTTTTCGTTTGGAAGTACGTTTTCAAGCCCACCGGAACATCGGCTATGTGAGACTGGTTCATTCGAGATCACACCTGAGGTGTACTTGAGTCTTCTGGGAACATAATTCTATATGAAAGTCAATTGAAACGTAGGATTTATTCATGTGACTGTATTAAAATTGAACTATCAGTCTTTAATCGCCATAGACGAAATTGGATAAATATATCCAAAATACAGGATCTAACGATATTTTTAGAAAGGATGTTCCATTGCATATTTTTGTTGTGAGTAGTTGTAGAGATTATCATCCCTTTTTGACAAGGAACTCAGTCGGTCTGTCTCGCTGGCGGTGATGGAAGGATTGATGGTTGATTTTGCACATAAAATCTGAAGATTAAGCCCTAAAATGGCGTTGAAGTTCACTTGATCCTACTTCCCAAGCGCTGATGTCATCCAGACTGAACTGCAGTTTAAACACCGCCTGAATTGGGCTTTCATCAGCAACCCTAACGGGACTCGAGTCCGAGTCGTGAGTGTTGTGGCGCCAAAATCAGTAAGTTACAGGGCAGCAGCGACATTAAAAGCAGGCCATGCCTCTCCAAACTCACATGTTTACGAAACATGTAATTGTCATTTAAATCCTGACACTACTTTTTTGGATATAAGTATATTTCGCGAGTATCAATATTTTTCTTTTCACGACAGCTTAGTCAGCCTGGCTGGCCTCAGATCATCTGAGGAAAGGATAAGGGTATTACTTGTCTTCGGTAATTGCAAGCAGATATAATCAAGTTTATGTCGTACACAAACATTCCCGTACAAGTAGCTATTCAAACTCTGATACAAACTCTGGAAGAACATCCAGAGATAACAGAAGGAATAAGGTTAAGAGTG